GATTTTTAATCTCTAATGGTGGCAGCAGCCCTGGAGGAGATGTGCATGTGAGAGCAAGCATGAATGAAAGCATTCCATTAAATATCATTAACCCATTAATAACCATTAAACCATGAGAATTTGCCACAAGCTTTTTGACACAAGGGGTGAAGGAAGCCGAGAGATTCTCCATTTGCTTCTACTGTCCTCCTTACTGTTAGTATCTGTTAAATGGCTGCAGCATTCAGGAACCGCAACACCTCACCATACAAGCTCCCAACAAGGCAGCAGTCCCAGATCTGATAAGGCTTCTGTAAGACCTGTTCCTAACAGTTAGGCTAGCAGCACAGACAAGATTACAGCATAGAGTACAGCTGCTTCCAGACATGGCTTGTTAGAAAATCAGTACAAGCAGGGTCAGGGAAGGACTGTTTCATGTAAGCAAAACAAGAGAGAACAAGGAGCGAGCCAGTAAATTCCAGAGAAGTCATCCCCAAACCCAGGAAATCTGAAGTGTTTGAGAAGGGTCTGAAGAAGAAACATGCCTATGTGGCTCTGCAGATGAACAGGGGGAAACAAAGCACCAGCATAGCTGAACTTCTCCCAAAGATCTGCAGCACGCCAACAGACGGGCTTTGCAGGCACCACAGCAATTCCCTCCGATGCCGGATAAGGATACCAGACTTCTTTTTTCAGCCATGCTCCACCCAGGCTTCTCAGCTCAAATAAATAAATGCCACTTATCTGCAGGGCTGCCTGTTTACTGAAGACTGCCAAGTGTGGTGACCTGCTCTATGGATGCTACTCTCAGCAGGACACGGTTTAACTTTCCAAACTAATACATCGCACGACACTCGGTTGGTAGGAAAGAACAGCTCTCTATCAATAATGAGAAACAGAGTCCTCTGAAGAGCAAAGCTGGCCTGAGGGCCCTGTCTGTGGCCAAAAACACATGGAAAATTCCCAGTTAACTAAGTGATCCCAGCAGCAGATTAAGACTACCGGATAATCTACAGCTTGTTTTTCCCCTTGACGGGTTTTCACAGAACCAGAGGAGCGTTGTTTGGAAAGGAGGTGGGGAGGTCTCTTGTCCAGCCTCCCATTTGGAACAGAGCTAGCACCAATACAAGGTTGTGGGGCTGGCTCCATCTTCCCTCTCTTTGTGGAAGGCAGCAATATAGGACGATGGTATCCCCCAGATTGCGTGTAAATACAGCCACGCTTAGTGCAGAAGCTGTCAGGCAGTCACCCCCGCTGTACATGGCGTTAAGCATCCCCAAAAGCCTGATCTCAAATTCTGCCAACTGCATTAAACACTCAGGCTATATGGATAGGTGTAAGCACACGCCTGGCCTGCCCTGCCTAGATCAGCTAATAACATATTGCTTCTTCCCTCTTTTCAGGCCTCTGTCACCTTAGTCCATATCTGCACGAGTAGAAATTAATCACAAACATTCAAGTGTTTTCAAGTGAGAAAGGGAGACACTTCAGGGTCTCACACTGCTGGCTGCTACGCCTCTCTCTAATGACATACAAAGCCCTTTCATGCTGCTCAGAGCGTAAGTATTCAACTACTTATCAATTCAAACTATGAATTGTTATGAAATTAATTAATAAATTAATTAATAAATTAATGAATTAAAAAAGGAACACAGCAAAGAGACCTCCCAGCCACACGGACTGCGGTCATAAGCAAAAATAAGCGATGCCCAAGCGTGGTGTTTTGCTGAGCATGTAGCTGTCTGGGAAGGTGTGTCACGCTTCACGGCCAGCCTGCAGCCCGGGACCTGTACACCACCCCAAAGCTGAACGCAAGCACGATGAAGCAATTCCTGCTTATTGGGACATCTCTGGCTCAGAGAGGTCTATTTGGCTACGTGTGCTCTTTAAAAATCAACATCGCTGAAATGGGGAACATAAACAAAGGAGGTCAGAATCACCTGCGAGTACTTTACCAATGCAAGATCATTACTACCATTCACTTAGAACAGCAAAAATAAAATAAAATCGATTAGCAAGGACAGCCAGGAAAGCAGGCAAAAAAACCCCAGTACGTATCTGGAAATAGCATCATGAGATTTACAATTAATGCGTGCAGTCATGACCACACTGAGTTAAGATCGCGGGAGCAGGGCATGGTACTACCCGCAGAGCACCCCTGAATTGAGTGGCCACAGAGGAGATAGCTGCCTGAGCCACGCAATCACCTCCCTGATCACAATGCAGCCAGAGGTCACCTCTGCCATGAAGAGGTGTCCAAGGCTCTTGTTATTCGCTCAAAAAAGCCTTTCCTCCACGTGAGGCCACTTAGCGCAAAGCAGTCGCGCTCCTTTAACTTAAGGAGCACATCCCTGAAGCTACTTCAGCCTTTTCTCCCACAACACAAAGTCCTTCAATTTACAGAGGTCTTTTGCCAGCCGGTGTTGGAGGCTGTGAATGCACAAAGACCAAACTAGAAGGAATCCAAGACAGAAGCGACTTCTCATCCTCCAAAGCCTCATCTGCATCTATACTTGCAGATCAGCACCCCATTCTCCATCAGGTGAGCAGGAAGGTCTTTAGAAGACCTATGCTTGAAGCTCTAGCCTGCTCCCTGAGGCCACAGCTCAACACAAGGTAGAGCAGAAGCATGGACTGACCACCACCTTGCTACTTCACGTATTGCTCTCGCTGTTACCCAGGTGGCTGTTAAATATGAAGTCCTTGAGAGGGGGCTAGAACGATCTTGGTTGCAACAGAATGATGTCCTATACATTTGGCCCGTTTCAAAAGCCTCCAGTCAGTAGCTGGGTCTCTTGCCACCTATCCTCCACAGGTGAGACTTCTGATTTCTTTTTAAAGGGCTGTTTGTTTCCCCCCTCCCTGATTAAAAGGAGCATACAAAGATCTTACCTAGCACAAACTTCTTTCCAGGGGAGGCAGAAGCTCAATAGTGGAAGAAAAAGGAAAAGAGAAGACTTAAAAAACAGCCTTGGAAACTGTAGGGCAAGAAGTAGTGGTGTAGCAAAGTCATGGTGAAAAAACACCGCTTCTGCAAGGCCACCTCAGAGCAGGAAAGGCCGGCAGTGAAGCGCCGAGAGCTCTCCAAGGGCACGAGAGCCTCAACTCAAGGTGGACTGAGTTTTTTTTTTACTTCTTTCCACTGCTGGGAACAGCCCCCTCCTCCCTGCAATGTTAATTTCCAACAAAATAAGGAAACAACTATCTTAAACTAAATTATTAAACTAGCTTATTATAAAACAAGCACAGACAGGAGCAGTTTCTATGGACAACTGACCTGCTGAGACTTGCCCCTGTAGCCATACCTCACTAGCAGGTTGATGGGAGGCGACAGATTGTTGTGACCTCTTCTTCCCCATGCAGCTAGTGACATTTGCTCAGGCATTTGCTCATCGAGGCAGAGAGGTTATTGCTCTTTAACCTGTCTGAGAAGCCTTTTTTCCCTTCTAACACAATGCCAAAATTCTGTGAATCCCTCTCACGCTCATATAAATATGTATTAAGAAATCTGCTTGAAAGTGCTCCTGTTGAAATTTGTCTGCAGCTCCTTTGTTTAAAGCTCGCTCATGTTTTACAAAGGCTGCATGCAGTAGTGGCAGAATTGCTCAAGTACAGCTCCTGAAATGTCAAATTAAAAAAAAAAACAACAACAACAAAACAAGGCTTCTTACTATATCAGCAGGATAATGTCTGCATGGTTTTTTTTTCTGCATAAAAAGGAGATTGTTTCTTTCATAGTTGTCAATTAATTTTTCCAGCATGGAATGACTCCTCTAATAAAAATAATCATTACAACAGAGAGGCACTCAGCAAGTTTCTCTGGCTGAAGAAACAAGATCAAACTGAAAAAACATTCTTTGGCTGAACACGAGTGTCACTACTAAAAACACCACACCACTGAGTTTTTCTCCTCAAATCCCTCCTTCCCCTTTAGTATGAAAGCATCCAGGAAAATTTAGCCCTTTACCGAGTTACTAGCCACATTCATGAGATTTCAGCCACCTAGCCACAGCAATGTTGCTAGTCCACCAGAGGAGACTGAACACGGGCCACGCTGAAGCCAAGATCCCTGAGACTGCTGAAGTCACCTCATGCTTTATAGAGTGAATTCAGTACCTGACATGTTAATAAATACCAACTTATTTTAATAAGTTTGTTTACACTTCAAGTAAACCAACGAACATTGATAAAATTCACTTCATCTCAAAATCACAGAATCAAACATTCTGTGAAAATAGTTACAGCTCACAGTCTGACATTAATTCAACTTAGATAAAATAGTTATCTGGGATGATTCCACTGATCTCTGAGACTCGATAAAAAAAAACTACCCAAGCAGTAAACAGAAAACAATTATTAATATTTAACCCTTATCTCAAAGTATCTTTTTGAAGTTATCTAGCAAAAATAAACAACTCTGTACTTAAAATAAATGATGTAAAATTACAACAACTCTTCACTTATGAAACCTGTAGTATAATCTGTAACAAATAAAAGTTTTTCATTAGACTGTGAGCCTGGTTACAGACCTGTAAATAAAAGACCAGTGACAAAGTCTATGATACTGCCAGCATCCCAAGGGGAGTTCTGCTGAACTAGACGCAATTTTATCATAGAAACATTCACCACAGTATCTCAAGAGACAAAAAAAGTAAGCTACTGTGGTTCTTAAGAAAAGAGAAAACTATGGTTGCCATAGCGAAAAGCAAATATATAATTAACAATTTGTACAAAATACGGGCTGACAAATAAATGGTATTTTCAGACTGAGCGTATCAGAGATTTGGATTTTACCCTTCTGAAAATACATTGGGTATTGCTATAGAAAGAAACTGTAAAGTTCAACAAAACTCTACAAGCTGAACAAGTATTTACTTTCAGAAAAAAAAACCCAAAACCAAACATCATTCTAAAGCAGCTGTGGCTGTCCAAATCTGTGACTCTGGAAAGAAAATGGCTTCCTTTCTACATGTGAAGCAACTGAGAAATGAGCAATGCTTCTCTCTCTTACATGAATTTAAAATAAAGTTTTCAAGCCTCAGAAGGGCAAGGGGAGCTGGGAGGAGTTTGATTAGCCAAGCAGCGAATGTCCTCAACAAAGCTTTATTACAAATTAGTTATTTTGTTTCCCAAATGTAAGTGGCAGAACGAACGAACAAATCGTAATACACGGATACCAAACTAACTTTTTTTTTTTTTCTTACTAAGAGCAACCAAAACACATCATTCCGCTTTTCAGAACAAGCCATTCTAATGCAAAGCTGATCGCATTAATGTTGTGCTTTGTAACAGCCGAATTAACACTTTGGCCTCTTTTGAATATCATCTTATCTGGGGCCAAGGAAGAAAGCAGAAGTAGCTGTTAGTAATTAGATGTGGCCTTTGCTAATAAAATACTAATCTTCCAATGTTAGATTTTGAGATAAAGGCATAGCTTCATGGTGGCAGAGGTAGGGGAAGGTACTGAAAATAGTTGAACGGGTCTAACTATGAACGAGAAGCTTCTTGTTTTGTTTTACATAACCACATAGCACAAAATTTTGGTGATCTGGCATGTTTTGAACTTTTTTTTTTTTTTACTTCACTCATTTTTAAGTCCAAATGGCTGACAATGTCTAAAAGTGGATTATTAAATGAAGTGCAGCTATGAGTGTAGCAAGAACAAGAGATACAATCCTCAAAGTGAAAAACGGAAGAACCTTCTCTTTTTAAATACAGGTTAAAAAAAATTATCATCATACTGCATTAATGGAATTTTTATTCAATACACAGCTCTTCTATTTGATGTGGAAGCAGACAAATGTAACCCTTAAAAACCAAACAAAACAACACAGTATGTCTCTACTGCTTTAGAATTGATGAACATGCTTCCATTTCCTAGACTTTGTAAAAAAAAAAAAAAAAGAAAAAAAAAGAAAAAAGAAAAAAGTTACTAGCAGGAACACGTAGAAGAATGCCTTATCAGGAAAGGCCAGCCCAACCACTTGCTATTTCAGTTCTTCCAGCTATGTCTTATTTGTGTGCAATGAATAATCAGATGCTAGATACCATTAGAGTATGGCATAGTGAATAAATACTACCCACAGGCTGGGGTGGAAGAGCAGCACACAGGCCCAATCAATTTTTACATGTGTTTAAATTACACATTCTTAAAAGCTTAACACTTTGCCTGGATTCTGCATATCAACCTTACTGCTAGAAAAGTTGCAAACAACAACAAAAATCATCAGTATAAAAAAAAAAATGTTTTAACACAGGCTTCAAAGAGCAAAGAGCTTCCACACTTCTTTTTATTTCAACAGAGATGGTTAGTTAAGGTGCTTTCAGATTCTGCATTGCAGACAGGTTGGTAGAGGCGGCCATTTAATTAGCTCTTAACAGTCTTTAGCGGGTATCTGAGAGCAGTTCCTAAGGCAGAACCCCCAAACTGCTAGTTTCTGTAGCGGGGCATCTGTGGAGCAGGGGCTCCCTCTAAGGGGGCTGAGGAGGAGACTGTCATGAGCTGTCCGGCATGCATTCTCTCATTCACCCGCAGTTCACAGCCATCCTGCAGCATCCTTATAGCTATCCTTGCAATGTTTTTAGAGTCATCAAGTCCACTATGAGGTCTCCCATCATAATTCATGCCCAGCTTTTCAAGCATGATTGTCAGCTTGGTCTGGTTCCTAGGAACCTGATGGAGAAAGTGAACCACATTCAAGAATTAGATTAAAAAGACTTGGTGCAGAACCTAACACAACGCAGTAGAAACGTATGCAGATTTTGTCTACTTAAGTCACATATTACTTTCATGTTGCCTTTTGTCAGATCACTCACAATTTAACTTCAAAGCACCTCAGCGAGACAGACACTTTCCTTTTTTACAGAGGAGACATAGTCAAGAGGAGCTTGTCTAGACTCATGATAATCCCAAGAGCCTCTCACCATTACCAGCACCAGCTCAAGATGTGCCAGTGCTGGCAACGGTGGAAGTCATGGCCTAGCTACGTTTAACAAGCTTTATAGAAAAGGAATTACCACCCCAAGGGGCATTGCAGAGGGAATCAGATTTTGGTTTTCCTTCTAAATGCTAAGCGATTGAAGAAGCACCAGGGTCCTGATTCTCACTGACATCAAGCTTCTGAATCACAGGAACAGATTAGCGACACCTACAGCAACCCATGTTTACATGGGTGACCAAGAGCATGAACAGACAAGGAAGCTTAACTGACTTAACCGTGAGGAGTGCTACGCCAGCAAAAGCCCACAGTCTTCTCTTGATTAACTACTAAATATATATTCGTGCTTTGGAAAGGTCAAAGAGAAACCAAAAGGATGAATTTAAAGGAAAACTTTAGTTTGCTCTCTTGGTGGCGGTGGGTGTGGTTGGGGTGGGGGAACACCGGACATGACAAGTTCCCGGATATTGCACCATACTACTGGATTTAATAGCTAGGCAGAATGGTGACAACACAGTTGCCAAAACCTGGCAATATGCAACTCCAATAACACCAGCCACAAACTGGGCAGGGAAGACATACCTGCAGGTTGTGGGATATTCCACAGGAAAAGTTACAGTACATTCCTTGTCCTTAATTTTATCTACTACTATTACTTAATAACAGATTCCGCAGCAGCACAGCATAGCTAAACAGAAGCACTGAACAACTATAAATACTACAACTGTTTGCATTTATTAAAAAAAAAAAAAAAATAAGTAAAAAGAAACGGATTTATTCTAAGTTACAATCTTCATTGCTTTTGAGGAAAAATCACGCACTGCTCAACAGAGAAGGAATGTCTAGGTTAAAGCCGATAGGACTAACAAGACTGTTGTGTGTTCTCGCATGTTTCCAGTAGAAATGGTCATGCAGAGAAAGCACAATAATAGAGGGAAAAATGGAGTAAAATATTTCCTCAGCACAAAGCAAAGCTCTTATGAAATGTTACCTCTTTTTTTCTACAGGTTACATTTAGTATGAAAAAGCCCTTCAAGAGAAGATCGTCAGTTAGGCTGAAATCACATTCACACAAATGGTTTAGTGTAGACTGACTGGGAATTCTCTAGAATCTGATAACCCATTTTATGGTAATCTGACAGTGAGAAAAAGCAGCAATAGGGTCCAGCACTGAACTTGGTATTGCTTTTCTCTTGACAATTTGATCCAGCTGTAGAGATGTCCTAATCTTTCTCTGTTCCCATTACACTGTCAAAAGTGGGGATATCTGAGGGTAGTGGTGCAAGTTAGTTTTGTAGTATATTACAGGAAAACAGGAAAAAATAATTGAAAATCAATCCAGTCTTTTCTGCTGAACTACTTCAAGACTCACTTGATCTAAGAGCACCAGTATGTTTTAGACAGTCCTTCATGGAGCATCTCCTGATTCTTAACAACAAGATTCAAATCAAAACGCAGAAGATCATATGATCTTCAGTTAGTGAAGTGAGATCTGGGCATGAAGCACATTTGAAAATCAGGCCCCAGGCAACTAGTTTAAGTACTGTAATTTTATACTACACAAGTGAAGATGACAAGCACAACAGGACATTCTAGACTTTTAAACCAAGTTTTTCCACAAGAGAAACAACAATCTGTACAAACCTTATAGAAGTTCCCATACGATTTGCGAATATTGATCCACTTTTTGGCAAAAGAAGGGTATTTGATACGGCTAATACGGCACTGGATGCTCAAAAATTTACTCATATCCCAAGATCTTAAAAAGTCAAAAGAGAAAAGAGAAAAACATTGGTAATACATAAATTCAGATGCTCTGTATTCTACATATTGCACAGTTGTAATACAAACAGCTGTCTTTTCTTTGGTGGTCACTAGAAGGAAAACAGTTTAAGAAAAGCTCTATTGCTATAATCACAGTAAAGAATTTTTTAATATGGATTTGTTAATCATGGGGAAAATAAATAATGACATGAGCAAAATTTTTACTAGGATGGTTTCAGGTCCAGGATAGTTAAAATAAAAAATAGCACGCCAACTTCTCCACCTACGACATCTACTGCAAAAAACCTGCCAATGGACTAGACGCTTCCCCAAGGGCTGTGTAAGCAAGTGACACCTTACATTTTCTTGCTTACTTGGCTATGCATGCATCTCTCTACTTAACATAGCTTACTGAAACAAGATGGCACTTAGTTTTAGGAGAACCAGACCTTTATAGAAAGAAGATGAAACTATAACCCTATGCAATTCTAGCCCACCTTCCTGCAGGGAACCACCCCAACAAGTTTGTAAGCTTCAAGCTAAAATGAAGCCTTTTTTCCCCTGTCTCTTGTAGCTGTCCACACAATCTCACCTATATGAGAGATTTCACTGCACCTATTTGTCTTGAGAAATTTCACTGAGGGGATTACCCTGGAGGGGGAATTCCAGACATGTTCTAGGCCCAGTCTTGCACCAGTTTTGCTGTAGCATTCTCTTTTTTTTTAAGTCAAGGGTGCTTCCAAAGATAGAAACCTAATCATATGTAAAAAATCAGTCAAATAGTAGTGTTTACCACAGTACCTTAAATTAAAGTTGGAATGACACTATTTTAACTCCTTATTCTTAAGGTGTACGTGGATCTAAACCATACACCTGTGTGACAGCTTTTAAATGGCTTCACTATTCACACTGGACACAACCACATTTCAAAGATATGGATTCTTCAACAGGGAAGACCTGTGATTTATAGTCATTGTCCAAATCTTCAGGAATTTTGAGAAAAATGTCTCATGGCCAAAAAAATTTTCCCATGTGGTAATTTGGATCAGTTAAAAAAGGTTTTGTTATGTATCCATTCATCTCCTACAATATATTATTTTTTCAAACCACTCATAATATGGACAAGAATATTTATCTGTGTTTTACTTGGCGGAAGTGTTTGGAAGTCATTCCAAGATTCCCCATGCTCTTTTTTCATGAACTCCAGTTTTGTTTTGGGGTTCATCTCCCTTTGGTTCGACACAGTCATTGTAACAGAGCAGCACAGGACTGCCTTTTTAATCCAGCGCAGCAGAAGACTTACTCCGGGCAAACAACAGGCATGGCAATGTGAAAATGCATCATTCAACTCAACACAGCTAATGTTAAAAACTGTCTGTGGTACTTTAAGCCCTCATTCCAAGAGAAGGAGGAAAGCAGACCTGTTAACAGAAGAGTAATGTTTCACAGCTAAAAAGCAAGCATCACCTACAGAAAAATTCCCTGGCCAGTGCTATATAAGATAAGGCTTAAATAGTATCTTTCATTGTATGACAAAGCTAAGATCACAAGAACAATGCTGCATCACGGATATATCTACATCTCAAGATCCATCCACTTTGCAGTCATTAGGGGACTTGATTTTCCAGGCAGACCTTGTGAGAGATCAAGTTCAGGTGGTAGTTCAAGAACACGTCAATCCCTCACACAAAGCCTGTCAGAGCTGGGACCCACCAGAGCCACAGTCCTCTAAGCCAAAGCAGACAGCTTTCTGCGTTAGCCGTTTCTCCTTGTTTGTTAAACAGCATAATCCATTATTGCTTTCCAGCAAAATATGCAGGATGCGTTAACACTAACACATAGAGGATACAACGAAACCACCATGCATCTCAAACCTCGAACTCAGGAGAGCACAGGAGTTGCTTAGAACTGAAATTGCACAATGTTATTTTCAGGTACTATGTGCTGTATGAAAACTAGATGTAAACAGAGAATTACAACAACAACAAAGGATAAAAAGTCTATTCAGCATCATTTAGTTGCCTAAAGAAATCTAGGAAAGAAACAGCGCCATCTAATGGATTTAAGCTTCATTTCAAATTTAGTTCAGCTTTCCTGATTTTCCCAAAAGCTGAAATTATAATAAAATGGCAAAATGGCAGTGTCATGATGCACCTTTAACAATACTGTCACAAAGATTAAACACTGTTTTGCAGTTTTAGATCGTGCTGAAGGTTACATAAGGACATACCCATCTGTCAACATGGAATAGCTATATTTTGTTCCCAGTTCTCGCTGCCTCATCCAGTCTATGACATTCTGCAGAACTTGAGGAAATGTATCAGCTTTATCAACAATGTCCTAAGAGAACCAAAAAAATAAGAGTAAGGAACATTTTTTCAGGGAAAAAAAAACCAGCATGAAGTGTAAGAATTATACGGGTATACAGGCACTCATTAAATCACTATGTTGGCTTCATAAAAATCTTTAGAAACAGATTACGCATTAAGCAGACAATTGGACAGATTTTTCTAAACTGAAAAAAAAAAGCACCACAAACACACCACTGAAAGAGCCAACCTCCAAATCGCAAATATAAAAGTAACGAGATTATTCAGCTGTTGAACTTGGATTAAAACCTTGGAGCTTGTTTCCCAGGCTCCTGCTCAAGTCACTTGGTCACAGCCATTGCCATCATAAGACTCTAAACCCTTTAGAATAAAAATCTTTGAAGAGAAACTGATGCAATTCAAAAGATGTTTTTCCTCTGCTAAAGTTTAAGTTTCTACGCATGGATTACAAAGTGAAACTACAGCTCCTTACAAACACCTAAATGACCAACTTAGTGAAATCAATTCTGTGATCATTGGGAGAGGGGGAAAAAACAAGGATTAAGAGAATAAGCCTTACAGAAAATTTACCATGAAGGATTACCAGTCTGAAAACCATCAATACCACCTCTCTTTTCTTTCCTCAGATTTTTTCCTGAAGAAACAGAAGTGCAAATTACCTGGGTGATTCCTGTCAGACTGATGCAGAAGTTTGAAAGCTTGGGATTAATTTCTGGCTTCACATATTGCTGAAAGGTATCCTCCTGTAATAAGAAAAATCAGTAACTCTCAGCAGGGGCACCCTATGTAGCAACTTCTTTGGCTTGCCCACAGGTGAAAGCCAATAGCAGATACCTGCCCAGCTTGAAGGCAAAAAGGAGTGTGTACCTCCCCAGCCATTATGAGTGTCCTGACTGGCCATCATGAGATTCCCAGTGGGACGGATGAATGGCTTTCCAAGATGTGGATTTAGGAGGGGAGAAGGACAGACTGCAATAAAGGGGAGGATTTCGGAAAAGGAGAGCATGAGTAAGGAAATAAGAACTGAGAGGCATGAGCAAAGCCTGATGTTTTTTAGGTGGTATCTCTAAAGGCTCACCTGTAATTCAAGGAAGGCAACTGGCCAAGCATCTCAGAGGCCACATGCAAGTCATACACCTCTGGATGCCAGCCAGCCAGCGATAAACACAAAGACCTCGCTCTGGGAAGCCGAGCGGTACAAGAGTGAAGACTACATGCAAGTTTCATGGAAAAAAGAAAGCCCCAAATCCCTGCTTCTATACAAAACCTTTTGGACAGAGGAAAAAACCACGCTGTTTCCTACTACTCTAAAGGTAACAAAACAATCTTTGTAATCTGCACAATCCTCTCCCTGCAGCTAAGTCATACACGCAGCCACACTGTAATGTAGCATTACAGTGATTGCTGGAAATCCTCCTCCTATTAGAAGTTCTTGATAAATGAATCATTAGTCAGAGGACTGACTGAGTCCTCAGTTTCACTGAGTCACTCAGTTTCAGTTAGACAGCAAGCAGTTTTTCCTAAGAGAAAGCTGTACCGGAACAGAGCACTTGAGGCTGCCAAACGCCTACTAAGTACGCTTAAAATCAGGTTACACAGCTGTCAGTCCGTCACGTACACTGTGGAAACAGACTAGCCTGACAAGAAGCAGAGTTCACTCAAACCCACTTTCTAGACCTCTGCATTAGCCTTTTCTAGATTGCCTCGCACAGGACCATGGAATTTGCTAATTCTTGTTTATGATGAATCCCTTGAGTCCTAGAAATAGCTTTGTGGCTCTTAAAGCAGGGAAAGAAGTTGGGGGAGGCGGAGGATGACTGAGAAACTGAAAGTCCCTCATATCAATACAGGGAGTCAACATCAGGAACATGATCTATTCCAGGTACTTTAAAAGTAGAAAGTTTTGTTTGTATGTATATAAGAGGCACAGAGGATAAGTCTTTATGGAAAAAAAAAAAAAGCTATTTTAAATGAAGTTCATGATCTGTCTGAAAACTAATCTAGACTTTCTGAAGCAAAGAAGTTACATCAAAGAAAAGCATACTGACACAGTAATTAGAACACTTACTATTTCCAGGGTATGCGTGTTCAGTAAGACAATAGGAAACTCAATTATTTCATGTGTGAATTCAGGTGGGTTTCCTTCTTCACATGTTGCTTCAAAGTCAACAACACAGATGTAGTCATAGTAGCTGTCTCCATTAATGGGTTCCTTCTGCATCAGCTTCTGTTTCTTGTAATAGTTTTTCAGTCTCTTTTTCAGCACATCTTTCACTCCTCTAAAGAGACAGGGAAAGTGACAAAGATCACACTCTCATTTAATCAATTATTTCACCCCTGTAGAACTGAAGCTGTATTTAACATTTGAAAGCTCATAATTTATTAACCTCATCTTGAACACTAGCACTTACGAAGTCTGAATTCAACTCTATCACACAGTTGATGCATCTGGAATAATTCAGAGCCTGAGATACCCAGCTAAAACATGTACATAATATCAGTATTTGGGGAGGGACTGGGAAGCATCATGCAGAGACACTCCGCAGTCACCTCCAGTTCAGCAAGACTCAGTAGCTGAAGCCTCTGCAAAGCCCAAATCTTTGCAGATTGCGCCTAGACGACCTCTGGCCCTGGAAGTAGTAGTGCTTCATCCGTATTGCCCTCTGCATGAAGTGACGATTCCCTGAGGTGTTTCTGCATCAGTGGCACAGATAACACAGAATCCAGCCAAAACGCCCACATTTTAAATTTGCCTCAATTTGAATTTAAAATTGAGCTTGAGTAACTCAAAGTAAAGTATTCAAGATTTTAGTTGTCAGAAAAACTTCCTGGTCAAGATCCTGCTTTTCAGGAGGTTTGTGGCTAACATAAATTCACAGTGGCAAGTGATTAAAGTTACTTACCGCGTCTTTTTAACACAAACATTACAACAGGCAAGTGCAGGTGCCAGAACTGCCACATACCAAACAGGAGCTGAATAAACAAGGATAATTTGCCCTTTGAAGGAAGCTATTTTTAAAACTATGCATTGCAAATGAAATCACAGAAGCCATAAAGAGCTACTCGTAGCAAGTGCTATTATCAGAAAAGCAGCCCACTGATCCACAAGAAAAAACTAGAATCGGACTACTAAGCCTGCATTTGAGAACACCAGCCTCTTCTGCAAACACAGATAACTCCTTTTCCACTCTGGTTTATTAATCTAGTTTAATTCCATGACCAGTTATTCAAAATTGAAACACTATGGGAGCAAATAGAGGGCAAAATTACCTTTTTCTTCATCAAACCTATAAAAGAAGTTGAAAGAGGAGATGATCTGCTATCAAAATAACCCCAAGGGAAAGGATGGTGTGTGGCAATCTGCTCAATTCACTACACGAGAGGTGATGCACTATTTGTTTACATGTAAGACACATTCTGACCAACTTCATTGAATATACTGACAAAAAAAGTCCAGCTTAGCTAGAAGAAAAGTTTAAAACTTTCTGCATTTACAACTGAATTAAAAAAAAAATTAATAACCTAGGGGGAAACCACAAACACATAATTTACTATTTGAATTCCGCTTTTTATTTTAAAAATCAGAATAACAGCTGAATAGCTGTACAACTTTAACCTGATCAGGTAATGATAATTTTTTTCCTCCTGAGGAGCCAAACTAATTTAACCAAAGGAGGATTTAAAAAAAAAAAACCAAAATGATACAGCCAGAACACCTGCAGACAGACAGGGTGAAGGTGGCAGGCTGCACTTCCCACCCACGCCATTTTTTCCCCCCCCTTTTATTCTTTTCAAACAAATCTTTGTTCCTTCCACTTTTTTTTTCTCTGAACATCCTCTCCCCTACAGTCACCTTCTTCTCTAGAAAACCAGACTTCTCCTTTCAGAGTCCATCTCTCCTTTCAAATTCCCTCTTCCCCCAGAGCAGTAGCTTCTCACTTTGCTAACTCACCACCACCACTGACACCACTGCTTCCTCGTAACTCTTGCCAACAGAAACGATATACTTTGTTCTTCCCCACTGACCACCTTCTCAACATCTCAAATTTGTCTGGCCACAGCAGTTATCAAAGGGTCTTGCAGGTAGTTTCTGACAGAGCAGGAACCACTCTCACATACGTCGCACTTTCCTCCCCAATGAGCACACACCCAGTTTACAGCACATTCACCTATTCACGTAATTCTATTTCACCTATTCAAACTCACAAACTTGCCAGCTAAACGTACCTGTCCTCTGCGCTGATTAAATTCCGAGCCCTATCACCACCCAGGTTCTGGCCAACATCAGATCTTTACTGGGTACAGTAAATAAAAATTCGTGTATTCTGAAGCGGGTTTCTATACACTGAAGGTCTGCCACACCACCTGAGCACCCTTGCAGTTCTTCAGACCTCTCTCCCCCCCTTGACTAAAACCAAGTTGAGAAGTAACCTACAGTCACATATTCTTTCATTTCTTTGTGTTACCAGTTCAGACAGCGCACGTTTCTGACAACACATTAAGCAGTATCACAGGCACTAATCCTACAACAAAAGCTGCAACAAGACTGCACATAAAACAACTGGCGTTCGGTGGTATGCCTGCTTTTCACTCTGTGGTGTGTTTTTAAACTTCAAAATAATCATCCCTTATGGCTCAACTGCTCTCAAAGACAAACCAAAAGGTTCATGAATCAGCCTAACCTGGTTTCAAGCTTGAACTCTGCAAGTTTACTTCTGAGCTCATCTCTGGTCATTCTGTTGATATAACCATTGGTTATAGCAATTTCTTTGTAAACTGGATCACTGAAGTCGTTCGAACTGGCGGTTGAGTTTTTCCCGTCAGTGTCTTGATCACTGATCCTACACTGCTGCCTACCCTAGGAGAAAGAGAAATCCGAAGGTCATTTTAGAAGGTCAAAACAAGAAGCTAGAGCATTAAAATGTACACATCATCTTGGCACCAAAACGCAGGAAAACATCACGCTGTTTCACTCACGATCAACCTGAGCAAACTAGCTGCCAGACGGGTAAGAAAATCAGTACTGATCAGCCTGCTCTGAGACACCCTTTTCCTTCTCACGTCCATAAAAGCCAGGAGAGGGAACAGAGGGATACTAACGCACGTGGCTGCGGTCATGCCAAAGGCCAGCTCTGAGAGACAAGACCTGAACGCGCGCCCCTGTTTCAACAGGTAAAGTTAAGCTCGCCGGTACGAGCTGGCAACACTCTGACTGGCAGGAAGGGGTTTCTCGCAGCACCTTAATTAACCATAAAAAAATTAAGGGGAAAAACTAAAGGCGCTTTGACTCTAAACGGTTACTCGCGGTCCTCGTGGGGCGAGCACCCG